ACCGAAAGGGTTCATTTGTGTAATCAAGAGACGCTTTAATGGAACGTTTAAAAAAAAAAATATTTAAAATTCAAATTTTTTTTAAAGTAACAAAATGTTCATTTATTCAAGTACAGATAGTCTACGTTCATTTAAGCATTAGTGTCAATAACATTATTTATTTATGCATATTTATGTATATTTACTTTATAATTCCAAACGTATCTTAATTAACAAAGAGTTATAATAATTAATTGTGTATAGCGCTTGTTTTTTTTTTCCGGGACACGCAGGCGTCGATGGAAATGAAAGAGCTGACAGGTTGGCTGGATCCGCTATCACTACCGACGGTCAGCCTATGGATCATACTGATATTATCAATGCCCTCAGAGAAATGGGAAGGATAGAGGACTTTGGTGGCAGTGAATCCACATCACTCGCCAGAATGGCAGACTTGGGAATTAAGATCGGCACAGCAAAAAACGAGACGCACACCAGCTACGCCAGAAGACTTGTTAATCAACATAGAACTGGTACTATTAGCCATCGGACGTTGGGGTTCATACTGAGGGGAGGATCTGAGCAACTATGGACATGTCCGGATTGCAATGAGGATAACCCAACTAACTAACTAACTAACTAACTAACTAACTAGCGCTTGTTTTTCAAGGATTAAAAAAAATGCGAATCCTTTTTTTCCCGGGATGTTTTTTTTTTCCCCGGGGAAATATGGTAGAAACATCAGCGATCATTTTGTGAAGGGAAATTTTCGAACGGAAAAGTTCAGCTTATATTTAGCCATGGAAATGTTTCTGCAGTGAAAACTAGGTCACTGGGTATTTCTCGTCTGACGTCAGTATGTTTTCCAGGATCGATGTTTTTGACGTCAGTGGAAAAGTGGCGGAGGTTTGGGCGGAAAACATGCAGTACTGGCACCATTCACGTATAAATAGGGGACACTGCTTTATTTTACACAAATCTAAAAACAAATCACAGTTGTGCATTCTCGAAAAAGTTTATATATATTCTTGATTATAATACATCCTATACAAAATCAAACTATGCCGCCAGTGTCTGTAAAAGATGTTACGGTAAGTTTAGCCGCAAACCTAATTGTGTTACTATTCTAGGGACTGAATAAATCGTAGCCGTCTTCACAATAAAGGTTGGCTACAGTCTACGACTGTTATCTTTGTGAATGTTCGTAAGGTTATAATCTCTTCCACGGTGCAACTCTCGTATCATTGCCACAAGAATTTTTTTCTTCCTTGAGCCGTCCACCGCGGAAAGGGGAGCGAGCCTTAGTACTCGGGGTTCATGAAATTGTTAATAGCGTTATCTGACTTCTAATCGAGTGTTCTTCAACTTAAAAAACAACAACAACACACACACACGAGAGAGAGAGAGAGAGAGAGAGAGAGAGAGAGAGAGAGAGAGAGAGAGAGAGAGAGAGAGAGAGAGAGGTTATGGGCAGGACTGCCAATAGGATTCTGTTGATAAACCCAGCCAAGCTTAACAAAAACCCAAGCAATACATAGGTAAAGAACAATATACAAAATTAAAAACCCCACATTGTTAAAAAGTATAAATTTTATACTTACAAAACGAAATATTTACCCACTTTTGAATCCTTATATAAGGATATATGTTTTAAAACCCAGATTTCAAAATTTGAACCTAAGGCGTCAAATAAAAACCCAGATCTAGGGGTAAAAACCCATCATTGGTTTTGGTGGATGTTTGGTGGACCATCTGATGTTAGTTGCGTATCCTTTACAGGACGTTGCAGAACCAACGCCAACATTGGCTGTTGTTGTTTTTCTAGGCAAATTTACGTCCAGTAGTTTGCCATTGCTTACTGGACGGTCGGCTTCTCAATACCACTGTCGAAACCAACACAAGGCACAAGGCCCGCAGCTTTGATCGAAAACGGCACCCCGGCATTACGAAGCGCGAACGCAACGCCTTAGCCACAGACGGCGACAGGACCATCTGATAGCTAAAAACGTAAGCAGCCGTGTATTTGTTAAATCCGATGTCACAAAATTAAAAATTTACGCTAAACCAATATTTGCTTCTGCTTGAAGGTTATAAAACCCGATGTGTTTGTCTCACTCGCTGTGCAGTAATGTGGTGTAGGAATCATATTGCCGATTCATAATTAAGTAGAGGCTAGGCTCGCTAGCGTAGTTTGCTAAACCGGGTTGCGCGGTGACCGGGTGACGAACTCCTTGTGGTCCGGTCTCACGCCCGGGGTAGGCAGAAAAGCCACATTTCTTCCAGATTTACGGTATTTATCATGGAATCAAGGCCGAAGGGTTGCGATATCCATCATACCGAGCCTAAGCGTTAACAACTCATGGCTTCTGGATACTTTAAAAAAAAAAAAGATAGATTTTTGGCGGCCCACCAGTGGACGACGGTCTAGGATTGAAGAACACGGGTTCTTGCTCTTTGGACTATAGACATCAGGGTTGTACCGTGCCACGGCCGTCTCAAGTTTTATATCTTCGTGTATTATTCTATGATACAGACACCGCCTTTTCAAGAATATATTTCTCCTATTGGTCACGGATGCAGAGATTCAGCCGCAGCAGGCGGCACATTTAAAAAAAAAAAAGGGGAGGGGGGGGGGGGGGAGCGTTCCGCAAAATCAAAATACAGTATAAACTGTTGATCTGATAGGATGAAGTTATAAGGGGCAGCATTTCGAAGGCTTGCAAGGAACCCAGAGCCTGCATTCAAATATAAGCCATATCAACAAAACGGATATGCACGCAACACTTTGGTTATGGAACAAGCCTAAAGTCTGGAGGTGGGCCACAGAACTTGCCGGTGCAGTTTACAGCAGAAGAAGAAAAAGAAGAAGAAGAAGAATAAGAAGAAGAAGAAGAAGAAGAAGAAGAAGAAGAAGAAGAAGAAGAAGAAGAAGAAAAAGAAGAAGAAGAAAAAGAAGAAGAAGAAAAAGATGACTACAATATTTGATTGAAACAAATCTTAAGACAAAGTCAAATTATGCCAGTTTCTATAAAAGATTTTATGGTATGTTAAGCTCAGGCCTAGATTTCGTAGTCTGCTCAGTGCCAATGGGATTTTCATCAATACCCAAGCTAAGCTAAGCAAAAAAAACCAAAAAAAAAAACAGCAAAGATGAGAATGATAAAAAGCACACATTTCATAGTTACAAAACGAAACATTTACCCACTTTTATTTAAGGATACTGGTTTGCTTATCCTTTACCAGACGTTGCAGAACCAACCCCAGCATTTCTTGGCTGTTGTGGTTTTTCTAGTCAAATTTAACGTTTAGAATCTAACTCCTCTCTGCAGCAGGAAAAAAATGAAAATGAGATATTGTCACTGATAGTCATCATAGTCAGGCATGGGGTTTAGTAATAATTGTGAGATAAGACTAATCATCTAATTATCTTCATAAGGTTAAGGATGAAAGAGGGGATTAGAATTAAACTGAAAGAAGTAATATGAGAAGGAAGGAGAAGGAGGACAAGGAGAAGGAAGAGGGGAAAAAGAAGAAAAAGACAAACATTAACAAGATGAATAAGGAGAAGGTGAAGAGGGAGAAGGATGAATGAAATAAGAAAACACTGAGAAATATTCAGAACTGAACAAATGACTAGGCAACTGTGCAAAGGGTATGCTTAAAATGTTAGTGAGCGAGCATTATCATTTATCAGGCCTCCCTATGGACCACAAAACCTTGACTAATAGGCGAAGACCATGGCTACCACATGCAACTGATTAACTTTATTAATCAGAGATTGTATAATATATTTATTGAAATAATATGGACTGATAACCCAAAAGGAAAAGATCTGATCATACAGTCCTCTGTATTTTTTGTTGACTGAAAGGCAGGCAGGCAGGCAGGCAGGCAGGCAGGCAGGCAGGCAGGCAGGCAGGCAGGCAGGCAGGCAGGCAGGCAGGCAGGCAGGCAGGCAGGCAGGCAGGCAGGCAGGCAGGCAGGCAGGCAGGCAGGCAGACAGACAGACAGACAGACAGACAGACAGACAGACAGACAGACAGACAGACAGACAGGAGAGAGTTAGAGTCAAGGCACGACATCTAACTAAGGAGTTAAAGACATAAAGTAAATTGTAATCCACACGCCCTCTGAGTAGAAGGTAGACAACAGGACCAAGACTGAATACGAAGCTTAGAAAAAACACCGCCAGAGCTACCACATCAGGCAGCGATGACCATCCCAGGTCACCCTGAAAAGCTTCTCCTACGAAAACATGTTAACTGAACCAGTGCGTGTTTTGAATACTAATCGATGAAACTATCACGATCTTAGAATAATTGTAATCTCTCTGCATGTCATTTCTTAACTCCAGTTCTCTTTCCTCTCTTCTTAACCTTCACTGGCTGTACTCCGGCGGAAAGTTGTGGTTGTTCGTCCACTTCTGGACTTCAGTCATGCTCAAGAACAGCGACTTATCAACCTGCGGGTGGCGACCTTTTTTGGGAAGGGGGGTGGGGGGGGGGGGGCAACGACATTTTCACAGATTAGATTAGATTAGATTAGATCAGATCATCTATTGTTCTTTAACTCTTTCAGTTTCAAGCAACACATCAAAACCATCTCGATAACTCTTTACATGGTAAACATTTTCAGAGTTTCTATCTCCTCCTTTTCTCACACATTGACCTAACTATCTTCAAATGCTACTGTAAATGTTGGTATCTCAACTTATAATTTTAATGCATTTAGACTTGAAGATTGTTTTTTTTTTTTCTAAAGTATACACAATGTTAGATATCATGTAATCCAATAACAACTGCTAAAACTGAAATGGTTAATTTCCTGTTTGGGGTCCAGGGCCCTCTCCTATTGAATGGAAAACCAGAATAGGCCCACTGCCTACCCACAAGCATGTCATAAGAGTCGACTAACTGGGAGCTTCCTTTGATGTCTTTACTGCATCTGCTTGAGAGGCAAGGAACCAACAATCTGCATATAGATGAGTCAGATCGGTAAAATGGATGTACACGCAACACTCAGGTTCTGGAAAGGTTCTAGATCAGGATTACAGTCCAGAAGTGGATGAATAATCAGAACTTTCTGCCGGAGTTTACATCTGATGAATGCAAAGAAGAAGAAGAAGGAGAAGAAGAAGAGGAAAAAAAGTTAATGAACTGTATGATTGGTTTCAATTCTATACTTCATCAAATTTCATAATTTTTAAAAAATGTTTTTAAATCACTTTATGCATTTTAAACAACAATTTGTTTCTAGAACAAATCCCAAGAAGGAATCAACCTTACAACAAAATGGCAAATCATTCAAGTCAAACCAAATTTAGATGAGTTTTCTCAAGCAGGAAGGAGCACATATTTACGAGTGGATCTTGAAGCAATTTGGAACAACATTCAGATTTTAAAGGGGAAATGTTCAGAGAAAACTGGTAAGTTAATGTAGTTGTAGCACTAACTTCACACACGGTTAATACTAATATTTGTAGCAGTAGGAATATCAAGTGAAATGTAACGAAAAATTAGACTTTATATTAAAAAAAAATTCCTATGTAGGTTCTCCTGACAGCAAAAGCAAAAAATTTAAATCACTTAATCTTAATCTCTTCTTCTGTCCTTTATTCCCCCAAGGGAGCATAGTCCTTTGACCAACTCACAGATGTGGTCAAGGCCCTTTGAGAACAAGCAACGGAATCAGTAGAGAAACAAGAATTTTATGGCCTGGAGAGAATGAGGCTTCTGGGTGTAACAAGAGGGTCTGGTCGGCTTACTACACTCAGAGGAAAAGCAAGACGGACACATAACCAGATTGTGACTGGTACCATCAGTATTCAAACTCTTTGCTGGCTGCTGAAGATGAGGACAGAGCACACATGAGAATGCTCCGAGTGCTGTGATGTCAATTCTTGACTCAACTCAACCCTTAACCAACTCAAGCCAGATTGTTCTGTCATTTGCTAATGCATGCAACTCACCCCATGTCCTCCCTATCCTTTTAACTTCACTCCCCAGCTCCCTTCTTGGTGTGTTTTTTCCCCCTTTATTTTCCAGTGTAAAGATATTCTAGTTATGTTGTTCTCAGGTTTTCTTAAAATGTGTTCTATCCAGCATCAGCGTCTTCCTCTCAGTTAGCCTTATAGGGGTGGTCAGCAATTTGTGTTGTGGCTTAGCGGTAGGCTTCCGCATTTGTGCCTTTTTGTCCAAAACCTCCTGTTTCAGAAAATCATTAAAAAGTCATCTCTTACGACAAGCTGGTTAAATGCAGTGGGTCAGTTCTTGCTTTCTCTAAGAATGGGGCCTGGAACCCACATGGGAAAGTTGACCAAAGGATTGAATAAATTAATAGATATAGTGACTGACAGCACTGCCGCTCATATCCTAAGAACCACACTCTCACATTTACACCTTACTCTTGTTGTAATTGATTGTTTTCAATATTTTTTCTTCATAGAAGTGATAGCCGTTGTCAAGGCAAACGCATATGGACATGGCAGTGTAGAGGTGGCCAGGTATCTCAACAAGTGTGGGCTTTTTCATTTTGCAGTGGCGACAGCCTTGGAAGGAAAAGAGCTGCGGGAAAATGGTGTTACTGGCTACATTCAAGTTCTTGGTAACTATTTCTTTATTTTGTATGCTTTTTAATTTTAGTAAAAATTCCTTATGTAATATGTGGGACAAATCAAATGTAAATGTTGGTTTACAGTATTAAACATTTAAAAAAAATTAATTTTGTATCTTCTAAAAAAATAGAATCAAGTAAAGTTATCAGCCCATCATGTTTCCTCATTTTTCTACCATGAAAAGCTCTTCTCAGGGGAAAAAAAATTTAGTAACTGTAGAGTGTTGCAATATAACTGTTAAATGCTGGATTTTTTTCTAAAAGAAACAAAAGTGCCAGTACTTACCACAGAGTTCATAAAAAAAGATGCTAATAATTACAACAGAGTGTCTATTACTGAACACTTAAAAAATGAAGCCTCTTATAAAAAATGTTGTAAAGTGCAGGCACTGCTGTTGCCTGTCATTGAAAGAAACAAAAACAAAAGACCTAGTTATGCCTAAGAATGGGGTTTCTTGGATCTGCTCCTTGTTTCATTTATATTCACAAGTTTATACTGCAGACTAAAATCCTGAGGGAAAAAGAACATTCCAAAATTTACTTTTATCTTAAATTGATTTTCACAATAAAAGTATTTTCTTCATATTTTTCAGGAAACTGTGTTGAAGAAGAAATCAACATGATGTTGAAATACAATCTAACCCCCACTGCTACAAACCTTCAGTTTATTAAGAAATGGGCGGCCAGTATAGCACAACATTATGAAAGAGTGCCTTCAAATGGAATGCTCATTAATGTTGATACAGATTGGGACAAAGTGAGTTTAGCTTAATACTGTGTTCATAAAATTACAATTGAATTGCTAGAATACACTGATATTATAAACAATAGATTGAATATCTAATTTGCTTTGATAAGCAAAAACACATTACACAAAGGAAAAATTCCTGACAATTAAAAATCATAAAAGGGTGGACTTAAAAGGCTATTAAAATAAAATACAGGAATCTTTTGGAAGCTTTCAGGCATATTTGGTATACAGTGCTAGACATTGCCTGTGTGTCCCTGGGGCCCTCACGGGAAGCAAAGAATAGGGACACCACACTCTACCAGACATCTCATAAGAGGCGATTAAGGGTAGGGTTGGGCCTAAGGTTGTCTACCTCATCCTGTAAAAACAATAGCCACAAAAACAAACAAACCAGGGATAAGTCAAAAAGAGAAGCAAGTAAAACCCAGCCAACCAAGATGAGGGGAGGTTCTTCAAGTAGAAGAAGTATGACACAGTGTGGAGAAAGCCGAAAGGAGTCCGGATCATCGACGTACCTCCTCTCAGCTCTGAAAATCTCCAGAATTGGCACCTGGAATTCTCTATGATATAAGGAGAATGAAAGGAAGGGCAAAAAACACTAAGAGGAGAGAGCTGGAGAATGAAGTTAGAAACATGGGGAGGACATGGGGAGAGCTCCATGTAATGGCAAAGGATAGAACGACTTGGCGTGAGTTGGTTGTGGGCCTATGTTCCATTGGGGGATAAAAAGGCAGAAGAAGAAGAAGTGCTGGACATGGAAGGAGAGGCAGGGGCTGACCAACACCAAGATGGGCACAGGATATAAGTGACTCCTTGAGTATGAAAGTACGTGAGATGGGAGAGCTGGAGAAAGACCGAGTTTCTTTCAGTCAGACCGTGATGAGAGCGACTTTCCGCAAAGGACCTGCTACATGAGGATGATGAGTGCTAGACCTATATTTCACAGAACAGTCAGCATTTGGTGGGTGGTGTGATCAACATTAAGCTGGCCATCTTTACTTCCCAAAACTTTACATGGTATTAACTTAAGGCTGGGTCAACTTTGAAGCTAAAATCATGTTTAAAAAAGAAAAGTCTGGCTCTAGGCTAGTGTTTAGGTTAAATTAAACAAAAAGAGGAAGTGAAGACAGACCCGTAACAACATATTTATAGTAGACTTATAGAGGAGGTGAGCCTCACAAAGAAGATCTCTATATTAGGATGTTTAGTCTTCTTAATGCTTTATAGTGTACTTGTAACCTAAGAATGAATTATGCATTAGTTAACATTATTGAATGTAAAGAAGAAATTATGAATGGTAATGATTTGCCCATTGAATTCTTGATTTGTCTGGTCAATGATCTGGTAAATGTATTTTGCAGCCAAAAGTTGTCATTAAAGTTGATACTGGAATGTCAAGAAATGGATGCCAGTGTAAAGAACTCAAAAGTCTGATGGAGGTAAGGATACGTATGCACTTTGTTTTTGTAAGGTCACTAATGAGAACAACTCTTATCTGTATTAATTAAGTAAAGTAAAGTAAATACAGGGCAGAACACTTAAGGCGATCTTGACCGTGGTGAATTTCTGTTGTGAAGAACAATTTGTTTAACATTTGCAGTTATTTTCCTTGCTGGAACTCTTATCTGGATATAAAGAATTTCTGAGAAGAAAAACTATTTCCTGTTTCCATGGTGAGTTCTCTTTATCAGGTCTGTGCTGTATATACATCAGCTCTACTGACTGTTACTGTTGTTGAGCTCTCTAGTAACTTTTTATTTAGTATTTAGCACTTCTTGTCACTATCTTGACTTCAGTCACCCCCTATTCATGTTATCACTTTAAAATAAAGTGCAGTAAAGGATTCTCTTGAGAATGCATTGGGCAAGTGAGTGCTAGACTTATATTTTTTAGAGCAGCGGTTCTCAAACGTTTTTGCCGTGGCATTCTTGTCGGGCTAAACTGTTCTCGCTGCACAGCTACCCTTAAAGCAGTTTGAATACTTAGGAAAAGAAGAAAAAACAGTGCACATTTAATGTTCAATTGTCTTTAATGCAATGAAGGAAACTGGATGAATTTTTCTTTATTGCTGCGGCAACCCTGGCATAGGCTCATGGTACCCCAGAGTGGTGCAGCACCCAGTTTGAGAAGCACTGTTTTAGAGCATTCAGCACTCAGTGGGTGGTGCCATAAAAATAATGCAGGTCATTTTACCTCTAAGCACTTTACTAGGTACTTTTCCATGTGGATTCCAGGGCCACTTTTTGGTGGAAATAAGATGGGAAGGAAAGCTCTGCAACACAATCCCTCGAAGAAAGTGCTTTGGTGCTATTTGAAAGAAAAGTCTCTACAGAACATAATTCCAGTGTCTGAGAGACTTTTCCAGGTTCCAACAACTTAAATGTGAATGCATTGGACATAACAGTTAAACTCATAATCTTCGTGGCGATTTACAATGAATCAACCCACCAAGCAACTAGCCAAATCACCAACTTGGCAACTAACTAACCAAGTTACTCACCCAACAATCAACAAACCATCTATCTAACAATCAACCAAGTAATTAAGAACAAACCTACCTAATTAACCCACAACCTACCAATCAACTAATTAACCCGCAACCCACCCACTGACCAAGCACCCAATGCATCCTTTTGTTAATCAGTCAAATAATCAATGACCCATCCACCCACTCAGCAACAGACACACACACCAATCAACCAACCAACCAAGTACTATCCCACCTACCAAGCAACCATCACACCTACCTACAATCAACCAGCTAACCAAAAACTGACCAAGCCACTAAGCAACGAACCCGCACACAAAAACCCCAATCAAGTAGCTATTTAACAACCCACCACCCCACCCATTCACTAATAATTAGCCAATTATCACAGTTTACTTGTCTTCCAGGCATGTGAAAATAATGGTATCCCAGTCCACAGTATCATGACGCACTTTGCCCAGGCTTGGGATGACCCTTTGTCTACACAGGAACAGCTAAAGAGATTTCTAGAGGCCACCAAATCATACAGGTAAACTTTACATATAGAGATCAGATAAAAATTTATATGGGATAAGTTAAGGACCATTGTCCATGTTAAGCACCATTTTCCATGTAATGGACAATTTTCTATGTTAAGGACCATTTTCCATGTTATGGACCATTTTACATGCCTTCATGTGAATTGGGTATATATATAAGGTTAGACCTATATTTTATAGACCAATGGACATATGGTAGATGATGTGGTCAGCATCATGCCAGCCACCTTTACTTCCCAGGACTGTACCCCATACCCACACAAGGCTGGGCCAACCTGGGACTGAAGGTTATCATTGAAAAATATCCGGCTCTGTCAGGATCTGAACCGATGATCATACGATCCCCAGGCAAGCATCTAGCCACTACACCATGATGGTTACAAATATGATATATATAGTTATTAGTTAATGTTTAATGCAGTATTTTAACTCTTTGAGTCCCAGGGGGTTTAGCATCACAGGCCCAAGGGGTCGTCAAGAGTAATGTAAAATCGGTGTATCATGCATTCATTGGGCCTCCAGGTAGGAATCTATGAACGTATGATGCATTCCTTGGGAATCACCTTTACTTCCAAGGACTGTACCCCATACCCACACAAGGCTGGGCCAACCTGGGACTGAAGGTTATCATTGAAAAATATCCGGCTCTGTCAGGATCTGAACCGATGATCATACGATCCCCAGGCAAGCATCTAGCCACTACACCATGATGGTTACAAATATGATATATATAGTTATTAGTTAATGTTTAATGCAGTATTTTAACTCTTTGAGTCCCAGGGGGTTTAGCATCACAGGCCCAAGGGGTCGTCAAGAGTAATGTAAAATCGGTGTGTCATGCATTCATTGGGCCTCCAGGTAGGAATCTATGAACGTATGATGCATTCCTTGGGAATCAAAGGGTTAATATACCTCTTTTTAAAGTTTTCTTTTTTACTGTCATTTCCTGCTGCAATCACTTTTTTCTCAAGTACTGAACCATTCCTTTTGTTTTTAACACTTTGCCTTTTACAGCCTGAACTTAAAAAATATTTACATTGTTTTTCAGATGCATGGGGGTTAAAGTGCATGCTGCCAATTCTGCAGCTATCATGCAAGGGTATGCCACAGATCTAGACTTTGTAAGGCCAGGAATAGCAATGTATGGACTGGCACCTGGTAATAATGCTTCTTATCTCTTTATTTTGTTTCACATCTTTTACATTTCTTAGCAGTGTTCACACATTCCCATTTTTTCAAAATTTAAAAAATAATATTGCATGACTGTTAAGATTTATTGTGTCAAGTTTTTTGAACCAGTCTGGTCTGGTTTTTCCCTTCTGAGCTATTACCTAAAGGTTACAAACATCCTATTTTGAAGATGATGTCAACAAAGCAAATCACAGATTGGTCGATGGTAAATGAGTCATGAACTCTCACTCAGTCCTTGCCCGAGACAACGAATCATGTCTTCCAAGACTGTCCTAAATACAACATATCAAGGCAAAATGTTTGACCAGGAGAAACACCGGTGCAAGACAAACTTTACTTGCCACTGGGTGAATTACAAAAGACAGTAAAGTTCATACTAGAGACAACATTGCAGATATAGATAATCTATTTCAAGCCAAGGAAAGAAGAAGAAGAGCAAGAAGTCCTTGCCTGACCAGCTGGCAAGTAATGCACCAGTGAAAATTGGAACAAGCATTTACAGAGCTGATATCATCAACGCTGTATGGACTAGGTTGGGTGATAATGGCTAATCTCTGATGCTAAAACGACTGCGTGACTGAAGAGTAAAGCTTGGTGAAGCATGACTATGCCATCTTCTAGGTAAAGATAGGAGATACTATAATCAACTCCTCATGGGAGCAATCAATAGAGGTACCTTTGAGTGGCTGCTGCATCAGAGACTGAGCATGCATGGGGAGGCCCAATGTGCAAAGACGTCGATTGTGATAACATCAGTCTTTTAAGAAGAAAATGGGAGCTTTTGAACTAAAATGCTGCAGACAATCTCTTAAAATACCATGTATCAAGAAGAAGAAAACTATCAACATCCTGCATGACCTGAACATTAAAGAAACCTGGCTCGTAAACAGCATCCTCAAGATAATCTCGTCATCCCTATGTGGGATGTAATTTTTAGTTATTTTGAAGCCCCACCCTGGCTTTTGCCGGGGGCCCTAAATATAGCCGGGCCTGAAATATGGCCTTACGGCTGAAAGGGGTTTCTGGGACCTCTCCAGGGGTGATCCTCATCCACATTGTGACACTGTGTGTCACTGGGTGTTTACTCACTTGAGTGATGTCCTGGTGGGGTACAACTACCTACCAACAGCATCCTCTCCTGAAAGCTGAGGTTTTTTTTTGACATGTCAAACACCATGGTGGCCTAGAAAAAATTGTGATGGAGGGTGCAATTTCTGGAAAAAATGGCAGAAGCTGACCTCCATGAAAGTGGGTGCAGGACTTCAAGATGCATTGGATATGAAAGACACATGGGGCTGGAGAACAGGCTAGAGAAAGAGAGGGACTTTTAGATGTGCAGTGAAGAGAGCGTAAAGGACTTGCTGAATGATTGATGATTGATTGACAGTGCCCACAAATGGTGCCTAATGCCTCAAGCTGTCAACCTGTTCGGATGTCACTTGATGCTGTTCACATCTATAACAAACACGTTCATAGCACTGTGAACAGGCAGACAGATTGGCTGCTGCTGCACCCCTTGGTTGTAAATTGATGCATGACAAGCTAGAGGTTATCAAGGCCCTTTGTGGGTGAGTGAACAATGCAGACACATGGAATAGATCATCACAGTCTGAAGAGAATGGTGCAGCAGGGAGTGACCAGGGGATCTGGCTTGATCAAGAATGTCAGCCTGGTCCATTGCTTTTCCTGTACCTACCGTGGCCCTCCCAGCAAGCCAAACTGCTTGTTTATTCTTTTTTACCCCAGAGTATCCTGGCAGAACAATAGGTGCTCTATTAATATCCTACCCCAACTAGGGGAAATCCACAGGTCATGGGACAGTCTAATATTTCAGGGGATGGTAGATAGGCTGCATACAGTCGTGGGACCTAGGCTGCATGCAGTCGTAGGACCTAGGCTGCGCTCTCTCGTAGGAGATAGGTTGGTTTTTGGTTAGGGCCAGTTCTAGATGTTTTGGGGTTGTTAAAAGCATCAGAAAGCTGGGAAATTTAGTCTTACCACCCTCTAAAATGTTGGACTCTCCTGTGATGTCATCTGGGGAAGAATATTGATAAAGAACCCAAAAATAAAACAAATTCCTATCAAACTAGATTTTCACAGTGACTTCAACCATTTTTTTTGAATAACTAGTCACCTTTAATGAAATACTTGTTATGGGTGCTGTGAATCTGTTATTTTCCTTTGCTGAAATGGGGCCCTGGAACCCTAATGGGGCCCTGGAACCCAAATGGTGAAGTGATTTCCTAATCTATATACATCTTTTTCAGAACCTACCCCAGAAGCTGCAGCGATGATGCAAACTATGGGCTTGCGTCCTGCCCTTGCCTGGATAGCAAGACCTTGTTTAATAAAATCCCTAGATGCAGGAAGGAAAGTTGGATACAATCAAGCTTACAGGTAACAAATATTTCTTCAGTCTTTCACGTTTCTGATATTCTTCTTTCTTCACCTTCTGTGTTTGCCCTTATAAGGTTGGCACATAGTGTTGTGGTTCACAGCTAGGCTGCGATATATATATGCTTTATGGTTCAACATGTACGATTTTATCAAAACCCAAGTTAGTCACCTGTTATAAATTACTTGTTAAGGGGCAGTCAGTCTATTCCTCCTACGCTTCTCATTTCTCAAGATGGGTGATGTGGTCAGCATAACGCCAGCCGCCTTTACTTCCCAGGACTGCACCAGATAACTACTTAAGGCTGGGTCGACCTGGGAGTCAAGGTCATTTTTGAAAAAAGACCGGCTCCGCCAGGGAACAAACCCACAACCTTCCAGTCCGCAGGCCAGCGTCTAGCCGCTACGCCACGGTGACTCACTACTATTCCATAGTCATTATTTCTTTTCTTTTCTATGTGTGTACAGGAGAATCCCTACCTTTGAAAGAGTAATAAAGAAAGTATATTTGTTTTTAATTAAAACAAACATGATGTTAGTGATTTGAAAAAGGATTACTGATTACTAATTCAAGAATTAATATCACAACCTACCCAGCATACTCACAGATGCTCCATCTCCTGCAGAAAATGTCTTAAGGTGTAGACAGTAACTGTTCCTGCAGCACACTGATATACTCTTACAGTCCTCTTCTATCTATTCTTTATCCTCTTCATGTGGCTGTTAACACATAAGGCATTCACAAGTGCTGCCGGTCTGCTGCTTTTCTGCCCATGTCAGTTTACATTCCTTTATTTCCCGTTCTGTTGTCCTTCTCCAGGTTTCCTTAGGTCATCCACGTCTGCTTTTCCCATCTGCTGTCCACAGGAGAGCTATTTTTGCCAGTGTCACAAGGCATTGCTATAAACATGGCCAAGCAAACTCCATTGTCTTACTTTGATAACATTTGCCAGTGATGCACATTCTGTTTTCCTCCTCAGTTATTCATTTGTGATCTTGTTTGGCCAAAATATTCGTAGAATTCTTCTTAAACATTTATTTTGAAAAGTCTCAAGTTTATGTGTAATTCCCGCTGTCATTTTCCAAAATTCACTGTTGTATAATAGTATTCCTAAAATGTTGCTCTTGTATATTCTGAGTTTTGTCTTCAAACTAAATCCGTTTGACTTACATATATTATTAAGCATTGCAAATGCTTGATTTGCTTTTTTTATTCTTGATGTTACATCCTTCACAGAATCTCCATCAAGAGTAACTTTACTTCTGAGGTGTATAAATTCTTCAACTTTTTCTATTGCTTCATCATCTAAGATAACTGGATTTTCTTTTTTGAAATTATTTCTCATTACTTTAGTTTTACTGGTATTTGTTTTAAGTCCTATCTTAAGGGCTGTTGTTGAAAGTCTTTTAATCTTTTTCTGAGCATCCATATTAGGGCTTGATATAAGGCTGATGTCATCTGTATAGTCCAAATCCTCTAAAACAGAGGTGAGTGACCACCTGATGCCTCTTTTTCTATCTCGTGTAACTTCCTTCATCAGCCAGTCAATGGCCAAATTGAACAAAAAGGGGGATAGTATGCATCCCTGTCTGACTCCTATGTTGACAAAGAATCTTTCTGTTGTATAATTAACTGTATTACACTGATTATACTCACACATTCCTCTTACTCTCAATCCTTTCTTGTCGGATCCCTGCTCACTTCCACAGTTACACGTTCTTACACATGTTATTTCATCTAACCTTATGTCATATTGCAGCTTTCTTTCTCATAAATGGCCTTCAGAAGTCTCTTTTTCCAGTTTAAGTGTTTCTGTACCTATTGCTTATGTAGCCAAATAAAACATCCACTCTTTAATTTCCTCACACTCCTGCATGTCCCAGACCTGATGCTTGGTATCCACTCATGCCACATTTGTCAATTCTGAATCTTTTGCGGTACCATCTAAGAATTAGACACTATAATTCCTCTGTTAACTCTTTTTTCTGCTACCTGCTTAATAGCTGCAGCGATTGCCTCCACTTTCATCACCATGCTTGGTGTTGTAAATAAACGAAGCATCATTTTGTTCTGCCATGATCTTTCCCTTTCACTCTAGCTGAAAACCCCCAGCCATATCTTACACTCTGATTAACAGAACCATCAGTTTTAATTATTGCGTCATCTAGCCCAGCTAGAATCTGTTGTTTAATTCTGTCATACTGCTACACCATTTCTCTACATTCTCTTCCTAATGTGATAATCACTTGATGGAAACTACTGTTGTGTATCTGTTCCTGTCAACCCATTCCTGTCCCCCTGTGTATTTGCTTAACTGAGGCCACCAACCCGACGTTATCTTTACCTAGCAACATTCACGCCATTCGTCTTTTCAACTGGTCTCCTCTGAAATCATTTGCATGTGTTATTTGTGCCAGTGACAGTCTAGACTTTACTGATGTCAGTCAAAGTATACATCTCACTGGGGTATTGCGTGTGCAGCCAAAGAAAATTCAAATTCCTTTATTTTTAATCTGTATAAATTGTGCACACTGCAAAGTAAATAGTGTTAAAATGAGTGACTGAAAGTACCAGATAGTTAAAAAATAACACCAATATTCTTTCTGTTATGTCACCAATATAGTCTTGACTGCTGCTAGGCCGTGCTTACATTTGATCACAGTCTTTTCTACTTGATATTTGTAAGACAGACTGATCATATGTCTTTCAACATTTATACCCTTCTTCGATATGCTGCTAGGCAAGCTTCTTCTACAATGCTATAGCACCACAAAAAATACTGGCCTTCTCTGAATTCACCCTTGACTTAGTCTGTTTGTACCACTCTGAAATCTCATGCAAAAAGCATGTTAAAAAAAAGTAAAAGGACCATTTTTATGCTGGAGGAACACAGGGCATATGATACTTGACTCCTATTTAATATACCTATCAGCCACGAGGATGTCTTGAAAGAAACCGACTCAAGATGAGAACTGAATGCCCACCTCAGAAAGAGACAGTCTTTATTCTTTGGTCATGTGATGAGAAGGAGAAAACTGGAGTACAATCGTGACAGTAGGAAAGTTGAAGGGGATAAGAGGCAGAGGGAGACTGGGAAAAAAGATACTGGACAGTTTTACGTCATAAAAGGAAAGATCATCTGTATCAGAGTTGATTGAAAGTACACAAGACAGAAGGTGGTGGATAGATATGACTACCAAAGCCACACAGCATGGCTTCTAAGAAGAAGCAAAAGCATTCGTTGGGTGATATGGTAAACATCACACTAGCCACAATTCCTAGGACAGTAGGCTGCATGGTCTCAAGGCATGGTGTCGGCCTCGAGTGCTAGCGGTTCCAGTTTCAATCCTTGGTAAGCGCTGGGATTTTGTCACGTGGACTTGGGCTTCTAGTAACTACCCCTGGTCTCTGGGTAGTGAGATCAGACACTCGTATGCATTGTTGCACATGTAAAAATCTCTTTGCAGATGGAAATCGAAAAAAGTTTCCTAATGGCACTGTCCAGGCAAAATTTGGTCTTAAAAATCTACCCAAAGTATTTCAGGATCCTCGCCAGTGCTACAGAGCCTGTTCACTGTGCTGAGCTTCTTCAGACTCAGACTTGAGCTTGAAGAAGAACAGAGCACTTATGAGTTACTACATGTGTACCATAATGTTGATCCATTGTTTAAACTCAAACCTCAAACTTCCCAGGGCAGCAGACACCAATTTTAGGCTGGATGTAGAACGACTATCTGTAATGCTACCATGGCTCCTTTAGGGATTTGACCACTGTATAAACAAATGACCTGTCTTTTTACAAGTTATAAAATATATCCACAGGTTAAAGCAACAAGAGAGAATAGCAACGTTCAGTTTTGGTTATGCTGATGGTTACAACAGACTGCTCTCTGGAAAGGGAGTTTTAACAGATGTCAGTGGTGAGTAAATACAAGAAATGCTTATTTTGAGATTACATAAAAGCAGGGCTTTTGTTTTTTTTAAAGAAAAAAATGCGGGTAGTCAACAAAACATGTCTAAAAAAAAAATGCTATTACTCATCACAAAGTGTCTATTAGAGAAAATGTAGGCCTAAAAAAATAAGTGCAGGTAGTCACCAAAAAGTGTCAAAAAGGTGCTCATCAGAAAGTCTATTACAACAGCACTGACAAATGTAGGCATAAAAAAAGTGCCACTACTGCATATGGCTAGAAATAAAAAACAGCCATACGTATAAGACTTGAGATATATAATGAATCATGCTGGTCTATGCTGTCTAAAAGAAAAAATAATGTGTAAATACAGATAAATTTTGACAGATTTTTCCATGTGCCATCTTGTTCTAATAGATATGACAAACTAAAAGAGTAAATAGCATTTTCATTCCATGTGGTGTATTTGGTATATAGTATTTGGCTGAAATTGGTTAGACCTCTTGACACTTGAGGGTATTGTTGTCAATATGACATTAAACTTGTGTGTTGTCACTACACTGAAGGTTGGCTGGAGTGTACCCCCTTGCTGTCTTTGGAAATATTACATGGAGAGGTCCCCAATTTCTTCCACAGTGTGACTCTCATACCATTGTCTGAATGCATAACACTTGCTTTGCAAAAAATAAAAAACATCCGCCATGGATATCAGATCCTGGTGTATTAAAGTAATGCAATCCCTAACTTCTGTACCAAGAAGACACAATAATATCCTACTGACCAGTTTTATTTCCTAACAAATTTCCTGGTACACATTTTAAGCTGGGTTGACATGGTAACTGAGGTCAGACAAGAAAAAAAGAAAGAAATTTCCCACTTTCAACCCCGCAGGCACTACATAACCACAGTGCAGGCACTACATTACCACAGTGCAGGCACTACATTACCACAGTGCAGGCACTACATTACCACAGTGCAGGCACTACATTACCACAGCGCAGGCACTACATTACCACAGCGCAGGCACTACATTACCACAGTGCAGGCACTACATTACCACAGCGCAGGCACTACATTACCACCAGCGCAGACATTACCACAGCGCACATTACCACAGGGCAGGCACACTACATTACCACAGCGCAGGCACTACATTACCACAGCGCAGGCACTACATTACCACAGCGCAGGCACTACATTACCACAGCGCAGGCACTACATTACCACAGCACAGGCACTACATTACCACAGCGCAGGCACTACATTACCACAGCGCAGGCACTACATTACCACAGCGCAGGCACTACATTACCACAGCGCAGGCACTACATTACCACAGTGCAGGCACTACATTACCACAGCACAGGCACTACATTACCACAGTGCAGGCACTACATTACCACAGCGCCATAATGTTGGTGGGTGGGTGATAGGGTCATCACGCCAAATGACTTTACTTCCTAGGACTGTACCTGGTACCCACTAAAGACTGGGTCAATCTGAGATCCAAGGTCATTTTAGAAAAAAAAAGTCTGGCTCTATCGGGACCTGATTCCATGATCTTCTGATCTGCAGGCGAGCGTCTAGCCACTACACCACGGTGGCTCTTAACAGTTAAATACAATGAAGCAAATAAATAAATCTCTATAACTGAAATATAAAATCCACTACACTAAAAAGTAACAGTCTCTTTTTACAAGGGCAAATGCAGGTTCGCATCTATGTCTTTTTGCCTGCAGTATTTCGATTTTGCATTTCAATTTTAAAGACTGTCTTCTTTGCTCAAAAACTAATATAATAAAAAATAAGTCAATGAACAGTGTTTAAGAACTAAAAGCTTCTTAGAGAAAACATAAAATAACAGCCTAATTATTGTGTGTTCACTGTGAGACAATGGCAGTTAACTCTTTGAGTCCTAGGGGGTTTAGCATCAGAGGCCCATGTGGTAGTCAAAAAAGACGTAAAATCGGCGCATCTTGCATTCATTGGGCCTCTAGATTGGAATCTATGAACATATGATACATTCCTTGGAATTTAACTCTTTGAGTCCCAGGGGGTTTAGCATCACAAGCCCAAGGAGTAGTAAAGAAAGTAATAAAATCGGCGCATCATGCGTTCATTGGGCTTCTAGGTAGGAACCTATGATGCGTTCCTTGGGACTCAAAGAAGAGTTAATATAATAAGGTAAAATAATTGAGGAAGAAGAAATACAATTTATTCTGCTCTCCCCTGTGTGGGTTCCGGGGCCCCATTGTGGGGAAAACAAGAATAGACCCACTGCCTCCCCAAAAGCATGTTGTAAGAGTCAACTAATTGGGGAGCTTCCTTTGAAGACGGAGTGTGTCTGCCGGAGAGGCAAGGAACCAACAGTCTGTATTCAAGAGAATGAGATCTGTAAAACTGATGCACACGCAACACTCAGGTTCTGGAGCAGGACTGCAGTTCAGTAGTAGATGAGCAACCAGAACCTTCCGCCAGAGTTTACAGCTGGTGAACGCGAAGAAGAAGAAGAAGAATTTATTCTGCCTTTATAAATTATTTTACCCAGAATTATTAGTTGTAATTATTTAATAATTTTATATATACACACATGCGTACACGTACATGCACGCACACACGGGGGGGTGGGGGGGGGTGGGAGTGGGGGGTGGGGGGGGGAGATCAGGAAATAGAAACAAAATGCCAGCTGGTCAGTTCCCTTATGAACCAACTGACACCATTCTTAAGATATCCAAAACATAAGTATGAGCGCCAAGAAACAGATTATAATCAGCTAATTCATACCAAAACTGTGCTACCAGTGCCAGACTAGATATTATCAAGGGCTAACCAATGTAAAATTATTACCTGTGAAATGAGATGCCTGAGAAAAGCCTCCACCTTAACCATCTGAGACAAAGTTAGAAATGGTATTATCAGAGACTCTGTGTAGCGAACAACACCATGTAGCGAACAACACCATGTAGCGAACAACACCATGTACCAAACAACACCATGTAGCGAACAACACCATGTAGCGAACAACACCATGTAGCGAACAACACCATGTAGCGAACAACACCATGTAGCAAACAACACCATGTAGCAAACAACACCATGTAGCGAACAACACCATGTAGCAAACAACACCATGTAGCAAACAACACCATGTAGCAAACAACACCATGTAGCGAACAACACCATGTAGCAAACGTAGCAAACAACACCATGTAGCAAACAACACCATGTAGCAAACAACACATGTAGCAAACAACACCATGTAGCAAACAACACCATGTAGCAAACAACACCATGTAGCAAACAACACCATGTAGCAAACAACACCATGTAGCAAACAACACCATGTAGCAAACAACACCATGTAGCAAACAACACCATGTAGCAAACAACACCATGTAGCAAACAACACCATGTAGCAAACAACACCATGTAGCAAACAACACCATGTAGCAAACAACACCATGTAGCAAACAACACCATGTAGCAAACAACACCATGTAGCAAACAACACCATGTAGCGAACAACACCATGTAGCGAACAACACCATGTAGCGAACAACACCATGTAGCGAACAACACCATGTAGCGAACAACACCATGTAGCGAACAACACCATGTAGCGAACAACACCATGTAGCGAACAACACCATGTAGCGAACAACACCATGTAGCAAACAACACCATGTAGCAAATACATTTAGAAACAAAAGATCAAATGGTTTGGTCACCTATTAAGATTGCAGCCAAAACAACTACCAATGCAGGCACTATACAGAACAAGATCTGAAGTGAAAGCAAGAGGCTGCCCTAGGAGAACATGGATTCTACATCAATATGAAATGACAACAGCCATAGCTGCCCATCAGGCAATGGATCACAAACAGATCCTATCCACAATGCTTAATGGCAGAAGCGGACATTGATGATGGCAATGATATATATATATATATAATGGCATTCGTCAGTCCCGGGGGACTATGGAGATGTGCCGCTGGCTTTGGGAACAGCATCTGCTGTGACTGTAAAGTCTGATGCGGGAATGGCAGTCTTTGCCACACAGGATACACACAAAAGCAGATACTCCCTCGTTGTGAGGCAGTTTTACTCTCCAGTGCCTCCTCTCCACAGCTCGTTGTGTTCGGTTTCTTTCAAAATGTGACAGTCCATCTTATATATATATATATATATATATATATATATATATATATATATATATATATATATATATATATATATATATATATATATATCAGAATAATATCTAAATAATTTTGTATCATATGGAATGTAAATGTGTTATATTTAACAATTACATTAAACAAATTTTAAATAATAAACATTTCTCAAATGATGTCATTAAAAATATATCTAAAACAGAAAATATTTCTCATTTATGTTTGTTTGCAGGAAAAGAATATGAGATAGTGGGCAGAGTGTCAATGGATGCTGTAACCGTTCGTGTGGATGACAGTGTAACAGTTCAAACACCCTTTTATGTAATTCGAGATGACTACAACTCACCAAACTCAGCAAGTAACATTGCACAGATGCTGGATACAATACCATATGAAATTGGAACCAGTCTGTCAATACGACTCCCTAGAATTTATCACACAAAACATAAGGATAACTGAGAAACTAAGTTCATCTAACCCTGTCCACCTCATTGATGACATAACAATTTTTGTATTTATTTTTTGTATTGTTTTGTATGCAATCTTGCTCCTATGTGACAACAGCATTTTAAATTTGTTTACATTTTTGGTTTAATAAAAACATTGTTGCAATAAAGATTATAATTACATCTTTCTTATAAAAACAAAAAGTCTTTGTATTGTTATGGATTTTATTTAAAACTAAATTAAGGAAGTAGTTTTGATTTGACAAAATCTGCTTCTTTCTGTGTTTTTAAAGGACAAAAGCTCTTTAGAAGTTTCTATACTTCCAGGAAGATGGCATTTTGGTGCCTGGTCAAGTGCCTGGTCACGAGTAAACTCTCTGATTGATTAACTTTGCTTTGATTTACGTAACTCTCATTTAACGATTCTGTAACCTGAATGCCATTTTATAGAGGTGTAGAGTTAAAACACATACTTGGATAGGATCAATCAACCAACCATAACAACAGAAAACATAACCTGAAGTGAGTTGCTGAAGGCTCCATGAGGGTTAAACAAACTGGGTCCCATATCCAGTCTTCTTCTTCTTCCTTTTTCTTCTTTATCAGCTGTAAACTCTGGCAGAAAGTTCTAGTTGCTCGACCACTTCTGGACATCAGTCTTGTTCCAGAATGTGAGTTTTCTGTCCCAACTTGTCCATAAAATATATGTCTAGCCCTATGTGTTCTATCCCCCTAAAGGTATGTTCACTAACCAATAAGTCACAGGGGAATGAGTATCATGAAACAACTAATGTTGTCATGGTGATTTATATGCATAAAAAACGCACCACATCCAAAATGAGATAAGTACTTGAAAAAGTATAATAGTTTTTCTTTCCAGGATTGCTGACTGTAGGATTACCACCTCAAGGATGAGAAGCAAACATGTACAAGGAACTGGAAGCCAGTGTCACTTTTGAAATAAAAAGAAGAAAAAAAAGAGAGAGAGAGAGAGAGAGAGAGAGAAAAAGTCCGTCTTTGTTTCGGATTAAAACCCAGGACCTTTCTATCCCCAGGCGAGCTTCTAGCCACTGCACCCCGGCACCTTCCGTGCGTAACAATAGACAAACGTAAATTTCACGAAAACATCTTGTCGTTTTGCTTGTTGTATCCCACCAGGGCATCACACAAGTGATAAACACCAGGTGATATAAAGTGTCACTGTGCGGATGAGGATCGCCAGCTGAGAGGTCCCAGAAACCCCTTTCCCCGGCGAAAGCCAGGGTGATGCTTCAAATAACGAAAAATTATATCCCACAAGGGGATTACTTGTTTTCACATCTTGTTGACGTGTCGCCATGCAATATAAACAAGAAAACTGGTTTACCCGCTGCAACCTAAGTAGCTTCTATAAATATACTCAATTAGAATTAGGTATATATAGTTACTGATTCATACACCCAGTGATTTCAACATCCAGTAATTTTGCTCGTTTCATTTAGAACCTGAAGTGCATTTTAAGGCGTTTTTAAAGTATAAATGCCGGAAGATTCGCAAACAGAGCGAGCCAAGCCGACACAACCGTTGTGTGTGTTTGCTACCCTGTTCTCTAGGACGGCCATCATGTCATTCATGGTCGACTGGAAGCAGGTGCTGTCACATCGTCCGCCATGTCACTCTTGAGTTTATGCTTACTTCGTTAACTCCTAGAATGTTCGTGTTCTGGGTACAACATCATGGAGTGTTAGAGTTTGGCCGTTATTGAACTGACAGACGCGCCATGACTTCTTTCATTCCCGGTTGCCAGGGGGCGCCACACCCGCAGCAACCCCGCCATTACCTGTTACAGGTGCTCAGGGGTGGGTATGGTTGCACTTTGGCGACCACCATAGCTACATTTCAGACCTGACTGTTCGATACTGACGCAAGTTTGTATCGTGTTATCGCAGGTCGATGTGTTGTTTTGGTGGTCACGGGATCGACGACAGATGTAATCCAGTTTATGCAATGATATGGTCATTGATAGCATAGGGGACTCATTGTTTTACTAACTCAGTGTGGCATTTACAGTCTAGTCTTCCGCTGTCTACGGTATATTTCAGTAAGTCTCTGTGTTCCACCTACCACACACGTTGCATGTCCATATATAATAGATGTACTGCTGCTGCTACCACCACCACCACTGTCACTATTACTACTTTACTATTAATGCTGATGCTGCTACTACACCGCTGTACTGCGTTGTGTTCATTGCAACGTTTTCTGATTAGCTTTTTATTTGATATTTTCAAAGATATTGGGCCTTTACCATAATCCTCCCTAGTGGAAGATCTATTCATAAGCTGTATATTCAAAGACTGTTCATACAATACACCTATTTGGTACCACGCAACTGTTCAGTACGTCAATTTTGTGTTCTCAACACCCAGTCACCTCATTAATCTAACTATATACATTGCCCTAAAAAATATTACCTCATCATTATCACAGAACAGCAATACGAACTCATGGAGTTAATACAGTAAGCAAAACTCTAGAGTGACACCACGAACTATGTGACACAACTTCTTTCGGTGACAAAAGATGGTCATTCTATGTATGACAAGTTATGTAATTCAAACAGTTTGAAAACACAAACTTCAATGATGCGGTGGTTTACACGGATGGATCGGTTACCCTGGCAAACGAAATGCAAGGGCGTTTACTGTGAATGCAAAAGGCAATATAATAAAAGAGATGAGTGATGCCTTTGCTGTTACAACCAGCAGCCTCACAAATGGATACGATGGCTGCAACAGTGACATTGACATGACTGGGTACTCAAGAATTCTCGCATGCGTGCAAATTGTTCGGTTCATTGAATATGCTCAAGTAAATCCAGGCCGACTTCATCAAACATGAATGTATTCTTTCATTAAATGCACCTCGACTAACTCGCCTTAATGTTCATCTTTGTGCCAGGCAATTTTTCGTTATTTGAAGCCCCACCCTCGATCTGGCCTAATGTCTGAATGTGGTTTCTGTGACCTCTCCACGGTGATCCTCATCCACATGGTGGCACTTTGTGTCATCGGATGTTTATCGCTTGTGTGATGTCCTGGTGGGATAGAAAGTCAGTCAGTCAGTCAGGCGATGCAGGTTATACATATTTAGTCATCTCCTTGTGAGATGCAATTTTTCGTTATTCTAAGTCCTACTTTGGCTCTTGCCAGGGGCCGCAATATAGCCCGGCCATAAATATTGTCTAATGGCTGAACGTCAACACCATTATCGCTACTATCATCATCGTTTTTATCGTCACCACCACTACCATTATCGTCACTATTATCATCATTATTACCATCTTTATCATCACAGTCATCTTTATCGCCACTATTATCATAATCACCTTTACTACCACCACCACCATTATTGCCTCTATTATCATCATCACCATCTTTATCACCACCACCATCATTATCGCCACTATTATCATCATCATCACCATCTTTACCACCACCACCATCATTATCGTCGATATTAGGAATCATCTTTACCAATACCATCATCACCACGACCACCACCATCATTATCGCCGCAATTATCATCATCATCTTTACCACCACCACCACCACCATCACCATCATTATCACCACTATTATCATCGTCATTTTACCAACACCATCATCACCACCACCATTATTATCGCTACAATTATCATTATCTTAACCAACACCATCATCACCACCACCATTATTAGCCCCGCTAGTATCATCATAATCTTTACTACCACGACCACCACCATCATTATCGCCGATAATCATCATCTTTACGACTACCACCATCATTATCACCACAATTATCATCATCAATATAACTATAAACACTGAAATGTGTCCCTGCAACGTGGCTTTAGAAAATGTTGAGCATGTACCCCAAAACTAAACGGTATTCTTGCTACAGAGAGACCATCTGGCCTGTTCCAACTTCAGTCTAAACAAAGCTGTTTGACACACGGAAAGGGTTGAACAGCACGGTAGCTTCCATCAAGGCTAGTGGTCTCTGTACATAAAGTTGCCTAACAGAAGGATCGAAGAAGAACTATCATCATCATCATCCCTACCACAACCTATACCACCATCAGCATCTCATAATCATCATCAGCATCGGCATTATCATCAAATCACCACCATCGTAGCTTTCAGTATCATGATCATCACATCATCACCATCGCCACCACCATCATCATGGGCCATACAGGAAAAGCATAGGCTGTAAAGGTTCACCATCTCATACGGTAAGCTCCTCCCCCCCCCACCCCCCAATTAAAAAAAAAAAAAAGAAACCAGGGCACAGCTCATGTCTGGCTCATCCACATAGCCAATACACCCTGGTATTACTTTCTATCGTTGCTTTCCTCTTGATTTCCCGCTATCAGTCTTGTCAGTCGTCACCAAGTTTTTTTTTTGGTGTGTGTGTGATAAAGGTTGTTGCGTATCCTTTACAGGACGTTGCAGAACTAACTCCAACAGCCCCTGGTTTTTCTAGGTAATTTACGTCCAGTAGTTTGCCATTGCTTTCTGGATGGTCGGCTTTCTTGATACCACTGTCGAAACCAACGCTAGGCGCATGACTCGCAGTTGGGATCGAACCTGGCATTCCGGCATTACGAAGCGCTCGCATCGACTTAGCCACAGCGACGACTTTTTTGTGTAAACTTATTCCTTAAACATAAATAGAGGCACTAGTGCCGTCTTAATACATGGGCCCGCTAGGCACTTAACCGGGGGCAATACGACCAGAGGGGTTACATGCTAGTCCATGTATACCAAATAAAGGTAAAGGACCCTTTCCCATGCATATAGGACTAGACTTATATTTTACAGAACAATTGGAACTCACACCGGTCGCCTTTGCTTTTCACGACTTTATCTGGTACCCATTTAAGGCTAGGTCGACCTGGAAGCCAGTGTCACTTTTGGAGGAAAAAAAAATCCGTCTTCGTTCAGATTAAAACCCACGACCTTTCTAGCCCCAGGCGAGTATCTAGTCGCT